CAACAAAGTCACAGGTACGTGCCTTCTTGGGGTTAGCCGGTTATTACAGACGCTTTATCCCAAATTTCTCCTCTGTTGCCAGCCCACTGACCGACCTGACCAAAAGGGGGCAGCCGGAGAAAATAAGATGGAGCCAGGAAGCGGAGACAGCATTCCAGACCCTCAAAGAGGCGCTTTCCTCGTCTCCGGTCCTGCACGCACCGGATTTCGGCCACCCCTTCTGATGCTGCCGTACATGCTCTTTGGAATCCGGGAAGTGCCCTAGGCCTCCACCGGATTTACCCCGTTTGAGCTCCTCTTCGGCCGCCAACCACGGGGTCTTCTCGACGTGGCCCGTCAGGCCTGGGAGCAGCAACCAGCCCCCCAGCGGTCAGTCATCAAGCACGTACAGGAGATGCGGGAGCGGATCGATCGTGTGATGCCCCTTGTGAAAGAACACCTCGCCGAGGCCCAGCGCTCCCAAAAACGGGGGTATGACTGGCCCGCGCAGCCCAGAGAGTTTCAGCCAGGGGATCAGGTGCTAGTTCTGATACCCACTGCCACCTCCAAATTCCTGGCCTCGTGGCAGCGGCCCTATACTGTCACGGAAAGGGTAGGCCCAGTCACCCACAGGGTGCGTCAGCCGGGACTTCGACACGGGGAAAAGATTTACCACCTCAATCTATTGAAGAAGTGGACAGCGCCCCTTCCCCAGGTAGCGGCGCTGGCACAAACCGGTTCCCCCGTAGTGCACCTAGGTGAGCAGCTGTCCGCACTCCAGAAGAAAGACCTCACCTCCCTGGTCAGTCAGTTCCCAGATGTGTTCGACGAACGGCCCGGGCGGACCAAAGTCATCCAGCACGACATCCGCACCCCTCCCGGAGTAATTGTGCGGCAGAGACCCTACCGGGTACCGGAGGCTCGCTGGCTGGCTATAGAGGAAGAAATCACTTGGATGCGCCAACTAGGAGTGATAGAAGCGTCTCGTAGCCCCTGGTCCAGCCCCATCGTCATGGTCCCAAAGCCCAACGGATCGTTCCGCTTCTGCAACGACTTCCGTCGCCTAAATGAAGTGTCCTCCTTCGACAGCTACCCCATGCCTCGAGTGGATGAACTCCTAGACCGACTCGGCAGGGCCCGATTAATCTCTACCCTGGATCTAACAAAGGGCTACTGGCAGGTGCCCCTCTCCCCGGAGTCCCGAGAAAAGATGGCCTTCAGTACCCCTAGTGGCCACTGGCAGTACTGCGTCCTTCCCTTCGGGTTACACCAGCCACGTTCCAACGCATGATGGATGTCCTGCTGAGGCCCCACCAGGAGTACGCGGCGGCCTACCTAGACAATGTTGTCATCCACTCTGAGAGCTGGGAGGACCACCTAGTCAGATTACGGAGCATCCTGGAGGAGTTACGGCGGGCTGGACTTACGGCTAACCCTAAGAAATGCCATCTCGGACTGTCAGAGGCTAAGTACCTGGGTTACCGGGTCGGACGAGGACTGGTCCAACCCCAACAGGAGAAAGTCGAGGCCGTCCGGAAAGCAACACGCCCGACAACAAAGTCCCAGGTACGTGCCTTCTTAGGGTTAGCCGGTTATTACAGATGCTTCATCTCAAATTTCTCCTCTGTTGCCAGCCCACTGACCGACCTGACCAAAAAGGGGCAGCCGGAGAAAATAAGATGGAGCCAGGAAGCGGAGACAGCATTCCAGACCCTCAAAGAGGCGCTTTCCTCGTCTCCGGTCCTGCACGCACCGGATTTCGGCCACCCCTTCACCTACAGGGTGTGTCAGCCGGGATGTCGACACGAGGAAAAGATTTATCACCTCAATCTGTTGAAGAAGTGGACAGCGCCCCTTCCCCAGGTAGCGGCGCTGGCACAAACCGGTTCCTCTGTAGTGCACCTAGGTGAGCAGCTGTCCGCACCCCAGAAGAAAGACCTCACCTCCCTGGTCAGTCAGTTCCCAGATGTGTTCGACGAACGGCCCGGGCGGACCAAAGTCATCCAGCACGACATCCGCACCCCTCCCGGAGTAATTGTGCGGCAGAGACCCTACCGGGTACCGGAGGCTCGCTGGCTGGCTATAGAGGAAGAAATCACTTGGATGCGCCAACTAGGAGTGATAGAAGCATCTCGTAGCCCCTGGTCCATCCCCATCGTCATGGTCCCAAAGCCTGACGGATCGCTTCGCTTCTGCAACGACTTCCGTCGCCTAAATGAAGTGTCCTCCTTCGACAGCTACCCCATGCCTCGAGTGGATGAACTCCTAGACCGACTCGGCAGGGCCCGATTCATCTCTACCCTGGATCTAACAAAGGGCTACTGGCAGGTGCCCCTCTCCCCGGAGTCCCGAGAAAAGACAGCCTTCGGTACCCCTAGTGGCCACTGGCAGTACTGCGTCCTTCCCTTCGGGTTACACGGGGCACCTGCCACGTTCCAACGCATGATGGATGTCCTGCTGAGGCCCCACCAGGAGTACGCGGCGGCCTACCTCGACAATGTTGTCATCCACTCTGAGAGCTGGGAGGACCACCTAGTCAGATTACGGAGCATCCTGGAGGAGTTACGGCGGGCTGGACTTACGGCTAACCCTAAGAAATGCCATCTCGGACTGTCAGAGGCTAAGTACCTGGGTTACCGGGTCGGACGAGGACTGGTCCAACCCCAACAGGAGAAAGTCGAGGCCGTCCGGAAAGCAACACGCCCGACAACAAAGTCACAGGTACGTGCCTTCTTGGGGTTAGCCGGTTATTACAGATGCTTCATCCCAAATTTCTCCTCTGTTGCCAGCCCACTGACCGACCTGACCAAAAAGGGGCAGCCGGAAAAAATAAGATGGAGCCAGGAAGCGGAGACAGCATTCCAGACCCTCAAAGAGGCGCTTTCCTCGTCTCCAGTCCTGCACGCACCGGATTTCGGCCACCCCTTCATCCTCCAGACGGACGCCTCCGACACAGGGCTGGGAGCCGTGCTGTCACAAATAAAGAAGAGAGAGGAGCACCCAGTCGTGTATATTAGCCGCAAACTCAGCCCAGCGGAAACCAGGTATGCCGCAGTGGAAAGGGAGGCTCTAGCCATTAAGTGGGCAGTCCTGGAGTTGAGGTATTACCTCCTGGGAAGAAGTTTCACGCTAGTCACGGATCACGCTTCTCTCCAATGGATGGCCAGGGCAAAAGAGACCAATGCCCGAGTCACTCTGTGGTTTCTGGCACTCCAGGACTTCCACTTCAGAGTACAAAATCGGGCTGGAGCCTCCCATGGAAACGCCAATGGGCTGTCTCGGATGTGGTCAGGATGGGCAGGTCGGTCAGTTAATATCTCCCCCCTCCCCTCGTGGTTTCCCCTATCTCCTCACAGACGTACCAGGACGACGCTTTTGGGGGGGGGGGTGGGGGAGTGTGGCGAGTCACCCAGTGCCAGGGCAGCGTCGCCATGGAAACAGCCCTCACACCTGAAAGCGAGTGCCGATCGTCAGCACCTGCACATCATTAAGAGGAGGATATATAAATGGAAGAGATGGGAAGGAGGTTGAGCTTCGCCTCAGATTATGCAGGACGCTAACTGTGTGCTCTTTGTTTGTTGCAGAGACCAGCGGCTGATGATCGGCCTTCCCCACACGTTCACCCTGGTTCACCCACCCCTCTACAGGACTGCCCTGCAGCACCGAGCACGCGTTTACCATAGTATTCACCTTTTTTTGATTCACCATTTGCAATTGTCACAATAAAACCCGCTCCGGGGTTTTGTCAACGGCTATTTGTGTCTGTGAACTCCCTCTCCCAGCCACACACCATACTATGAAAGATTTGAGTGTTTGAAAATGGGTAATGGTGCAACTGCTAGAATGCACTTCATTTTTTGGAGTAATTTTGTCATTAATTTTCTCCAAAACTATACAGTAAAATTACTTGAAAAGTTATACAGTAATAGTCAGGGTGACTGTGAACTTGAATCAACTGGAAGAATGAGCAAACCTATGAAGGAAAGCTTTTTACAAGTAAGTGCTTTTTATGAAATAGTCTGAGAATGTACATTAAGTTTTGGAGTGATTTGCCTTTAATTTGTACAGAAATTGTACAATAGATTTAACTTGAAAATTAATACAGTAATAGTCAGGGTCACTGTAAACAAGTATCAGATTAAAGGTGTACACAGACACACACACACACACACACACACACACATATATATATATATATATATATATATATTAACTTTGATAAATTATGTATATTAATAAATATACAATACAAATGTTAATGTACAAAAAAATGATGTATTCACAAACATTAATTCAATGTTCAAGAAAAAATCCTGAAATTGTATTATTTATGTCATGATATAAATTAGCAATAAATAAAAATTCTGATATTGCTTTATGGTCTTTTTAGGGTTAAACTACGTTTTATGCAGACATATTTTGGGTCACCGTGAACAGCAGCAATCTATTGAAAATATCAGCAAAAGTATAAAGGAAACGCCTTTATGACAGCTTCTTTACATCCATTTTAACCGCTCCCAGCACCCATACCGTAAGTGCGCGCTTAGACGCGCAGCAAAAAAATTGTGCGGCTGGCTTGACCGTGTAGTTTCAAGACGCGGCTGGCTTGACCGCAGTAGCGAAAGAGGTGTTTGAACTCAAATGTATACACTCTAAAAAATGCTGGGTTGTTTCAACCCAATTTTGGGTCAAATATGGACTAACCCAACTGTTGGGTTAAAAAGTTAATTTACAGTAACACAATGTAATAGGCTAATAAAGAAAAAGCGTTACATTTATTTATTTTACCATTTTTTTGTTTGTTAAATAGGTATGTCTTGCCATGATGTAGGCTAATTCAGTTACTAAAAAAAGTCTATAATGAAGCCAAGATCAAAATCTGTTTGAAACTCTTTTAATTCATGACACATTCATTTCCCCGATGGTGTTCCCTGTGACTGACGAGGAAATGACACCAGCTGAACTAGCTGCCTGACAAGTTGCATCCAACCTTTGGCCGCTTGACATTTAAGCGATCAGCAGCACTCCTCATGACAGCAGCGCTTGAGGATCATCATCATCTGGATAAACGCACAGCACACTTCACTGAAGGGAATAAAGACCGAATCAAAGTCTACGAGCGACTGAAGGACATTAGGAAGTGAATTAACTCGTGTGAACTCCTCCAGAGACACGCGATTCTCTCGCTTTACATACAATATCATTTTGAATGTTGATTTTTTCTGCTATACAAGGTTATAGGTGATATAAAGGTAAGTGGACTTTATATGAACTGGGTGTTAAAATCTACACTGCTTATCTAGACAGTTTGCAAGTATATCCGTTTTCCATATACTTTCGATTTTATTTTTTATATATATAACGTTATAAAATGACTAAATAAATAAAAAAACATATCCAGCGTGACAACTAGCCCCAGTCCACATGTAAACAACAGACCAGCCTGTGATCACAGACAGTTTCACACAATCCAAAAACATAAAGACTGAGTACATAAATGTTTTCAGTAAGTCAGCTCCTCGTCGAGTCAGAGGCTCTCTGTGTGAAAGTCAAACTGATGGTAATTATAGCAGCGAGTGTTTCCTCACCAGGGAAGAACTCACTGCAATTGTTTGAATCAGAAGTCACCTGTATTGTCCATCTGTCTAAACACACGCAACAACAAAGCAGCAATAAATGTGTGTGTGTGTGTGTGTGTGTGTGTGTGTTTATGTTTCTTTTGGTTAGCTTTTAATATAAAGGCTTAAGTATGGTCATGTTAGACTGTTCCTTTCACCTGTCCTGTAAAACCTGATAGAGGCTTTTAAACAAAACAACTGCCATAACTTGTTTAAGTTGCAAAGGAACCTGGTTTTAAGGAACGTAGTGTCATTGAGTCCAGGCTCACACACATTCAGTGCCTAACAGACTAAAACCAGTTTGCCTGGTTTACTCTCTTCATTCTCTGCTATTACTTGTGGTTCTCAGAATTAACAACAAATGATGCATCCCTGTAACCAGGTGTGCGTTCATTCAATGCAAATAGAGCACATAATGGTAAACGTGTGGAAGCAAAGTTCACTTTGCTCACGGGGAAAGGTCAGGCCTGTTTCAAAATGCATGCTTTTTCAGTATACTGGGGTTATAATACATAATGACAAATCCAACATTCAGTCATTCCTTTACTACACAGCCAGCTCTCAATCACTTTTTAGGATTTTGAAAGTATTTTCTTTTTATATCACTGGGTTTTCAAATTAAAATAATACATATCAATTGTTCATTAAAACAGCAATAACTTTTAGCTTAAATCAACTTTCAGACTTAAAACTTGAAGTTATTACAGTCTACGCTACATAAAATATTTTTGGAAGTTACACACAATAGAAAGCAAACAGTGACATGCTGGGGGGGAAAAACATGTTTATATTAAAGCACTTGCAGTTAAAATCTATGGAGCAAGACATTTCAGAGGGGTTAAAACTGGAAATGTGCAGGCAGCTTATGTTTTTGATAATGCGCTTTTATGAATTGCCCTCTACAAAATCTATTATTTGAGCTGTAAAGCTGTTTAAATTGTCCTTGTGGGGATGCTACTTTTCTAACCAGACCGGTACAGTAATTCCTGCAGGGGAATATTATATCCCATGTAATCATGTACTTGTTTTATCAAGTGAAAGTTGCCAGGGTCCTGGCTTTTACATGACAGGAGAAATATTGGATATAAAATGAGTAAGCTATTGTGTCACTCAATGAGTCCTGAATATGAATATGCTATGTTTCTCAGCACAGTTCAGTATTAAACAGTGAAAGTCTCAGATTCATGGTAAAAAACAATAACAACAACAAAAACCAACAACACCGAATTTTGCATTCTTAGAATAAATCAGATTGTATTGACTTTTGCTGATATGCAATACTTATTAATACTAAATATGTTCATATTCACAGACATATTAATCTACGTTTACACTCCCTTTGCTACTTTTCCCTATCCTTGTAGATGGCGACTTACTAGTGTGAGAAGCACTATTCTGCTGCTCTAAATGACAGTGTTGAATGTGTGAGCTGAATGGTTCATAATCGGCCATTAATTATTCAAACTGGGTCATGTGAATAATTGAACAATGCAGCTACTGATTATAGACAATCAAACATATTGGAAAAACAGCATTTGGAGGTACAAGTGAAGCTCATCATGTGTGTTTAATGTTGGTGGTGCCTGTGTGTCTTAACAGAAGACGGTGTGTGATGAGATGCCATCTGAAAAACCTCTTCCTCCTAGCGACTGGTCTTCTCATTTTGACCAGGGTCTACATCTACATGCAGAAAGCAGAATCGGGAAGCCTCAAGGTATTAGCTTGTGCTAATAGCATGATTATTAAATATTGAGACTTAAAGAGACACACACTTGTGTCACTCCAAACCTGATTATCTTTTATCTGCAGAACAGAAAAGAGGTTTTGTTTACCACTGAATTGCATTGTATAGGCTAAAAACATCTTTTATGTTCCACAAATGAAAGAAGGTTGAGGAAAGAATGAGAGGGTTTTCATTTTTTGGGTGAAGTATCCTTTTAAGAATCTTAAAAATCAGAAAAATGGTTCATTGTGTTGTATGTACTCAGACAATGCTAGTTTCAGACTGTGGCACACCACAAGTTGCCCTTGTTCTGTTCATCGCTAGTTGGAGTTTCCTGTACATTTGAGTCATACTGTTAATGATTTTTCTACATCAACTTGGATTACAGCATCTCTCACAATGGAATATTTCCCATGACATTACATTAGGTTTGAAAGTGTTGTAATATGCTGAACATTAAAAGGCAGTTTTAAGAGAACAGTGAACTGGATTACATATGCTGCGGAGACTATAACACTGTGACAGTATTTGTATGAATTCGATAACAAAATAATAAAGCAAGTCACACTGTATTTTAAACAAAGAAGTGCAAGCACACTTTTGAAACTAAACATTTCAGAAAAACATTTTTCTTTTTTTTTCATAACAAAATGCATGAAGTATCAAGACAAAAACTACATATCTTTTCCTGACTGTTACTTCTGAAAAGGTTTAATTCATATACAGTACACAGCTTTTGAAATGGTCGTCTGTGATAAAAATAACCAGCCAAATGTTGAACTTCCTGACATGTTTGTAGTTCTCTACACTTTCAGAAAAAAAGGGTACAAAAGCTGTCACTGCAGTGGTACCTTTCAAAAGGTAGACTTTTGTACCTTTTTTACCCCTAAAAGGTGCATAGTAACAGGTACATATTAGTACCTCTAGTGTACAGTATTAGTAACTTTTGAAGGGGAACGCCATAGTGACAGACTCTGGACCTTTATTTCCTTGTAGTTCTGAGCAGATTAATTATTATTATATATATATTTTTGCAACAGGTGTCACAGACCTGGACCTGGGATAAGGAGACTTGGATGGAAGATATTAAAGACCATTACCTGCATTTCAATGTTTCCATTAAAGTTCTGGCAGGAGTCTTCCAGCAGTCCAAGAGTGAGTTATCTGTTTACATCTACATGCATGTAGATCTGATCAGTGGTGTCTAACACACATAAGCCTGAAGGACTTGATTAGCTGGATCAGTTGCATTTACTTAGGGTTTTAAGATAAACTTTGCAAGGGTTTGGCCCTCCCAGAATTGAGTTTCACCTCCCTGATGTAGATGTTTTTTTTTTGGTGCAACAGATCTAGAAAATAATGCTACAGCATCACTAAAGGAATTGCAATTAAATGTGATGTCCATTTTTTTAATGCTGCATAAATAATCATATTTATGCAAAATAATCATATTTATGCAGTGCAGCCAATGCCTATGCACACAATACTAACAGTACAAGAGGATGCGGCAAGATCAACTCATTAAAGGGACTTGTTTTGCAAGCAGTGACGACAGAATCAGTGTAGTAAAAAGAGTATAATGCAAGTTATGGGAACATACATATATATGGACTCATATATGAGCCTCAAATAATAAAAAATAAAAAAATGCGCACATCTGATGGGCTACAAAAACCTCAGTGAGGGTGCTCAACTATTGTAAAAAATAAAAAGAAAGAAAAGGTGGCACACCACAGCTCCAAAATGCAAAAGTGTTTATTTCATGTTCTCACCACAGGTGAAGTTTCGAGTCGTAAGGCTCTTCATTAGACAATGAATAGATATACTGATGAGCCCTTAAATACCAGCAGAAATTACATCACATGACAAACACACACACACACACACACACACACACACACAAACATCAAGAACTCTACACTCGGTCAGTGAAAACATAAAATACCAAGGACAATCTTATCAAATGTGAACATGCAAATACAATGAGCATCATTACTGCAGAAAAGGACGAATATCAAACTCTTCATTAAAGGGGTCATATGATGCTAATTTAAAGATCATTATTTTGTGTATTTGGTGATAATGTCTTCAAAGTATACATTTTAAAAGCAAAAAGCAAATTGTTGATATCACCTCCTCTACGAGGTAATTTGACAGCTTCAATGCCAATATATTGTAGCGTGGAAACTGAATGTTTAAATCTAGCAAAATGTTGTGCTACTGGACTTCTAGGGTCATGCAGCCTAATGGCACTTCGATGTTCGGCAATCTGCAATTTGAGTTGTCTGCTAGTTTTACCCACGTAACAGAGTCCACACGGGCAGCACAGCACATAAATAACATTAGAGGTCTTACAAGAAATCGTTCCTCTGATCTTAAAAGATTTCCCAGTACAGGGATGCTTAAAAGTTTGTATTTTGTAGGTAAAATTACATTGTTGACAACCTCCACACTTATAATTACCTGAAGGAATGTTACTCAAAAAATGTGTTGGCTGAGAAACAGATAAATCAGCCCTGACCAGCATATTACGTAAGTTTGGAGGTCTCTTAAAGACTACCCAAGGTGGTTTAGCGAAAATTGTGTGCCAAATAGGATCATTGTCAACAATGTACCAATGTTTCTGAATTATGCCTTTGATATATTTAGCTAGTGGAGAACACTGGATAAAACAATTCTTGACAAGACAATCCTGTTGAGAACTGCTACTGAAGCGATCTATTGCAGATTGTGTCCACTCCTCCTTATATGTGACCCTGGACCACAAAACCAGTTTTAAGTCGCTGGGGTATATTTGTAGCAATAGCCAAAAATACATTGTATGAGTCAAAATTATTGATTTTTCTTTTATGCCAAAAATCATTGGGCTATTAAGTAAAGATCATGTTCCATGATGATATTTTGTACATTTCCTACTGTAAATATATCAAAACTTACATTTTTGAATAGTAATATGCATTGCTAAGAACTTCATTTGAACAACTTTAAAGGCGATTTTCTAAATATTTAGATTTTTTTGCACCCTCAGATTCCAGATTTTCAAATAGTTGTATCTCAGCCAAATATTGTCCTATCCTAACAAACCATACATCAATGGAAAGATTATTTATTCAGCTTTCAGATGATGTATAAATCTCAATTTCGAAAAATTAACCCTTATGACTGGTTTTGTGGTCCAGGGTCACATATGCTTTCTGCCTAAACCTATTGGCCATTTCTTCTGCATGATATTGATAATCCTCATCTCAACTACAAATACTATGAATGCGACTGAATTGAGAAATAGGCAGGAAACGTTTCAGAGGAGCAGGGGGATATGATAACCCATCTAAAAGCGTATTACAGTCTGTGGGTTTACGAAATAAACTAGTCTCAATACCGGTCTCATAACATTAACATCTAGGAAATTAATTTGTTCCTTCTGGACATCCATAGTGAAAGTCAATGAAAGTCTATGAAAATCCAAAAGTTGAGATTCCGTACCACACCATAAGCAGAAAACACCATCAATACAGCGCTTCCACAATACAGTGAACTTACAGGCTGAATTGTACACAAACTGCTCTTCAAAAAGCCCACAGAATAGAGAAGCCTATCACACTCACCTCCTGGACAATAATCTGATTACTTTTTATCGCTCTGGACTCGCTGAACCACTTTGCACACAACTTTCCTGTGATGGTTCTCAAGGGACATTTAACAAGTTTGTGGAGTGAGCACTTGTGCTGAGCGGATCCTCCTTCACTGTGAGAGAGTTGGAGGAGGAGCCCACTGTAACGGTTATACACCTACAGCACTGGTGGTCACGGACCTGTTTTGGGGCAGATGAGACTGGCATCCAGTGTGGCAGATCCACTGCTGATGTTGGTGTGGGCTCCACCTTGGTATCCAGTTCCACCCTGGTTCCCTGCTCTGCCCTGGTCTCCAGCTCTACCCTGGCTCCACTGGCTTTGCCCTGGTTTTCAGCTCTGCACTGGACTTTTGTTTGGGTTTGGTGTGGAGCGTCTGGAATCCGCTCCCTGGGGAGGGGGGTTACATTACATGTTCCCTGTGTTGTCTATTGTTAGGCTTTAATGTTGGAATTGTGTTCCAGTTTCCGGTGTCAGCTTTTGTAGTCCCTTGTAATCCTTTCATTTAGTGGTTCCTCCTTGATTATATCCCCAGGTGTCTCATTATCTTGTTAAGCTTTTTAGCACCCTGTGTATATATAGCTCTTGTGTCTTCCTTGTTTGGTCAGTTGTTAAATGTAATGGTTGATGTTGTTCATGTTTGCTTTTGTTTCTCTTATCTTGTTCCCCATGTTCCCGGTTGTTTGTTTATTTTGTTACTTTCAAGTCGTTCCAATGCTCCATTCTGTTGTGTTTTGCTTTTAATAAAACCCCTGCAAATAGATGCATTAATTTAATGCATTCTATTAAGCAGCCAAACCTGATTTCACATTGAAAATAATAATACGTTTCTTGAGCAGCAAATCAACATATTAGAATGATTTCTGAAGGATCATGTGACACTGAAGACTAGAGTAATGATGCTGAAATCTATCTATCTATCTATCTATCTATCTATCTATCTATCTATCTATCTATCTATCCATCCATCCATCAACTATTTGCCAGTGGAGCAAGAAAAAACTTAACTTTGAATATTTTATCTGAAAAACAAGGCAAAATCTTGAATAAGAATTTGTGAGCCCAATGAAACCCAGAAAACAACTTTATATTCACACCCTTGTGTTTCATCATTTTTCAGAGTACCTGACGGTGGGCCTCTCGTCTGTGGAGAGAGAAAAGGGCAGTTATCTTCAGGACACCCTTCAGTCAATCTACTCTGCCTCCTCAGAAGAAGAGCTGGATCAAATGGTTGTGGTCGTCCTTCTTGCTGACTTTGATGTGAGCTGGATCCAGCAGACATTAGAGAAGATTACAAATGAATTCCACACGCGGCTGTCCAAGGGTCAACTTCTGGTCATCCATGCCAATGAAGACAACTATCCTCCCCTCACAGGATTGAAGAGGAACTTCAACGACGCTTCTGACCGCGTGTCCTTCCGTTCGAAGCAAAATGTGGACTACTCCTATTTGCTCCATTTTAGCAGTAATCTCTCCCAGTACTATGTCATGCTGGAGGATGATGTGAGCTGTTCGAAGAACTTTCTCTCCAGTATGCGTGAGCACATCCATTCGATGAGCAACTCAAAGTGGGTCACATTGGAATTCTCCAAGTTGGGCTACATTGGAAAACTCTATCAGTGCAGAGATCTGCCCATTCTAGCCCGATTCCTTTATAATTTCTACCAAGAGATGCCCTGCGACTTCCTGCTGTCGCATTTTCACAGATTGTTGATGCAGGATAAATTCATACGTTTCCACCCATCTCTGTTTCAGCACATGGGCACTTACTCGTCATTTAAGGGGACGTTTAATCAACTCAAGGACGAGGACTTTGTTGAAGGAGTTGCTGATAACCCTCCAGCAGACATTAGCACGAATATTGAAATTTATCAGACCAATACAGTCGACAAAGCTTACAGCCAGGGCTTAGAGTATTTCTGGGGTGTATCACCTATTGGCCCAGAAAACTACATTTTAGTGGTCTTTCATGAACCTGTTCTTATCTCACGTGTCCAAATACATACAGGATTGGATGGGAAAGATGAGCTGGTCTATGCTGATGTGGAACTTGGAAAAACGCTGGTGAAAAAGGAGTCGGAGGTGGAGTGCTCCGGATTTGACAAGCTGGGTTCTCTTCAACAAGGCCAGTTTAATGAACCAGCAGTCCAGAAACTTGTGCCGGCAACCGTGGCATGTTTACGAATCCGAGTCACTGCAGCCCAACCGAGCTGGGTTGTTGTACGCAAGATCCAGGTTTGGACTGTTAAAGATGGCCAAACCATGTGAAATAATTCTGGTGTGAATTCCTTATCATTACTTACAAAGGCTTGAATCTTTAATATAGACACGTTTAGTAATCTGTATGTGAGGATACAAGTGTGAGGGCGTGAGTTACACCACATAAAATAATATTATACATATTCTTAAAATAAGATACATATACTTAGGCATACTATATTTTCTTTAGGAAGCTATATTTAAATTATATTTATTTTTTCATATAACATATTTTGTTGTTAATAATAGAAATAAAATACAATGCATTTTAATACATTTAAATAAACTTACTTTTAACGTTAAAACAAGTAAAAAAAAACTTTCTTTGGTAACTTTTTGCAAGGTTTCCCAAGATGTACATATTCAATTTCATAGAAATAGGGTTAGTGAAATAAGGGTTAAAAAAAATCAGGCACACTGAAGTATTCAGATGACAGTTATTTTGAATTAACTTTATTTTTATATTTTCTGTTTTCGTTTTAATTTAAGGTAAAGGTTTAGTAATGTTGTTGGGTGTTTTGTCAATTTTATTATTATTTTAATAAATATGTCTGTATAATGTTTATTAAGTTTTAGTTTTAGCTTATTGAGTTCTTATTTTAGTACTTCAGCTTTAAACAAAAATGAGAAATGTTGACTTGACAACCAGCTAAAATAGAGCATTTTACAGTCAAAGTATTTAGATTTACAAGCCTTTAAAAATAGGGGATGGTTTGTGAAGATCATTCTGCCCCCTATGGGTGATGACTTTGAAATACAATTCCCTAGTTCAATCTCTCCAAACACTTATGAGGGCAAAAGTGCTGATACTAGTTTACATTCAACACACACACACACACACACACACACACACACACACACTCATTTAAATTTGCTCAGTATTTGGGGACAATTATGCATTTTATACCAATATATCAATATATCATGTTGTGTTGCATTTATCTATTTCTGACAATTATATCAGCACGTTTGGTTTATCAAACCTCACACATGTGGTATTAGCATTTGTTGAGTGCGATTATGTTCTCACTACAGTAAGAAAGAGCATCTGTACATGTACATGCTATAGTTCAGAGATAATTGAACAGTTCAGCATCACAAACTGATATTTTCACTCTATGATTATGAGTGTGTGTTCTCTGTCAGTTAGATTGTCTTTTTGGTTTTGTTTTATTTTGTTTTGCATTTTAATACTTTTTCCATAATTTTGCTAAACTGTATACTCAACTGTTTTTTTTGTGACAGCCAATTAAACTAGTTTCATGTTGCTCACAACACTCACATTGTCAGATACTTTAAACTCAAATCAATATTTCATGTCAATTTATGTTCTTATTGTTTATTGTGGCAGTGTAATTAGCAGGATCATTTGCAGTCTATCAGTCATTATTGCAAAATAAACCACTTCAGGATGGTTCTCCACATTGCATTATGGGTCTAAATTGAGATAATGACACTGGTAATGCTAACTGTACTGGGTTGCCCTTATGAATTATATATTATTTTATCTACACTATAGTATATACTATTGTACATATCTGAAACCACTAGTGAAAATGCTTTTACTTTGCATTTGTATAACTTAAATTGTATAATCTGTTTTTAGAAAATACAAGATAATCATAACAATTTGAATGTAAAATATTTATTCATTTTACATCATAATGTTCCTTTGTTTTCATACATTATTATATATAAATTATATATACATAGCGGGGTCAGAGAGGGAAAGAGGAGTGCAGACACGTAAGCCGTTCAACACGGGGGGGGAACCATCTGGTAACCCTCGTGTTGGTATCCTTTGCTTTGGACATCCATTGGAGTGGTGCATGATTGGTTACCAGGGTGAAGGGAGTGCCCTAAGGGGTATAGTGTAGCTCCAGGATGGCCCATTTTATAGCCAGCGCTTACTTTCCGATCACTGCGTACCAGGTCTCCAGGGCCGTAAGTTTCCAGCTGATGTATGTCACTGGATGTTCTTCTCCACTGATAGTCTGGGATAAGACTGCTCCTAGCCTGTTATCGGAGGCGTCAGTGTAGAGAGTGAAGGGTTGAGAGAAGTCTGGAGTGTGGAGCACCATGGAGGAAAATGAAGCAGCTTTTAGGTTTTAGAATGCTTCCTCTGCTGCTGGGCTACACTGCACCTTGTTGCGCTGGCCTTTATTTGTTAGGCTTGTGAGGGGAGAAGCCAAAGATGAGAAGCCCAGTATGAAACAGCGGTAGTACCTGGTCAACCCCAGAAAGGCATGTACCTGTTTCTTTGGCATGGGCCTGGGACATTCACGGATTGCTCTTACCTTGTCTTCCTGTGGGAGGATGAGGCCTCTGCCAATTTACCCCAAGTAACGTGCTTCGGAGAGACCCAGGTGACATTTGGCAGTCAGCCCAGCCCAACGCAGTGCTGATAGCACCTCCATCAGCCGAGTCACATGGTCTTCCCAGTTGTCTGAGTGGATGACTACATCATCCAGATACGCGGCGGCATACTGTTGGTGGGGCTTCAGAACCACATCCATCAACCTCTGGAAGGTTGTTGGAGCCCCATGCAGGCTGAAAGGAAGGACCCGGTACTGCCAGTGCCCTGAGAGAGTGTTGAAAGTGGTCTTCTGCTTGGAATCTGGGGACCTACTAATATCCTTTTGTGAGATCTAGAATGGATATGTACCGGGCCCTTCCTGGCTGCTCGAGGGTCGCAGGGACATGAGCTCCTTTCGCTGATCACTGATTGGGCGCGAGCTGGTTCCGAGGTCCACCACGGGTTCATCCTTCTATGCTAACAGGGCCGTGGCAGGGGGTGCTGCGACCCACTGCTTCAAGAGGTTGATGTGATAAATCTGCTCTAGCCTTCGTCTTCCAGGTTGGCCCAGACGGTAGTTCACAGGGCAACACGCTCAACAGTATAGGGACCCTTCCAAGAGGTGTGGAACTTGCAGAAAGTGTCAGGGATCTAGACGAGGACCTTTTCTCTAAGTTGGAACTCATGGGGTTGGTCCGGCCAGTCATATAGGCATTGTTGGGCCTGCTGGGACATGAGCAGATGTTGCCTTACCAGAGTCATTACTTGGTCGATTCTTTCTCTCATACTGGGGACTTGCTCAACGATGGATGAAGGAGTGCCCTAGGAGGTAGGAGCGTAGCTCCAGGATGGCCCATTTTATAGCCAGCGCCTACTTTTCGATCACTGTATACCAGGTCTCCGGGGCCATAAGTTTCCAAGCAATAGGGAGAAGGCTGTTGCTCCCAGGCTTCTTTGGCGATGTCCAGTAGCCCTAGTAGTAGGAAGTAGCCCTGGAAGTAGGCTTCCAAAGAGCAATTCAAAGGAGGTGAAACCAGTGGAAGCCTGGGGTACTTCTCTTATTCCAAAGAGCACGTACTGCAGCATTCGGTCCCAATCACAGCCATCCTCGGCAACCACCCTCTTCAACATCGATTTAAGAATCCGATTAAAACACTCCACTAACCCATCAGTGTGGGGGTAGTAGACTGAGGTTCGAATATGTTTCACCTTTAGCAGTTTGCAGAGGTCGGTCATTATCCAGGAGACAGAGGGGGTCCATTGGTCTGTGAGGATCTCTGTAGGGATCCCCACCCAGCTACACATCAGAAAGAGCTCTTGGGCAATAGCTGCTGTGGTTGCCCGTCTGAGGGGGGTGGCCTCTGGGTAGCGGGTGGCATAGTTGACAATTACTAGAATGTGCTTGTGGTCTCGAGCCAACTTGAGCAGCAGTCCTACAAGATCCATTCCGAGCTGCGTGAACTGCACTTCAATAACAAGAAGTGGCACCACTGGGGCTGGGGCTGGCTTCTGAGGGGAGGTTCTTTGGCACACAGGATAGGCTTGGCAGAAATGTCACACCTCTGCACTGATGCCCGGCCAGAGAAAATGGTCCCTGAGCATCTGTAGAGTGTTCTCTGTGTGCCAGAGAAATCACCATGTCAGTTTTCCCTTTTGTCAAGGTGGGGAGCTCCTTCACTTCGCCGTGCCTGGTGGCCACACAATACAACAAGCCGTTCTTTACCACAAAGTGTGGAGAGCATTGGGGGGAAGGCAGATGGTCTTTTCCCTCCACAACTCTGATCTGCTTCCAGCAGTGTCTGAGTCAGTCATCCTCACGCTGCTCACAGACCAGGGACCCCCATCAAAACCTGCTGGAATAGGTCAGAAAATACATCCAGGTTGTTGTTTGTTGACTCACCCACTCTCTCGCTTTCCGAGGCAAAGTATCCCAGGCGTTAATTTCATTAACAAAAAGTAAGATGAAAAATGTTTGTTGATGAACTTTTTTCCCATGACTAAGACGAGATGATGACAAGACGACAATAAGGTCAATAAACGACAACTGTGACTATATTAACATGCAATATCGTTGATGAAAAAAGACGAGACTAAAATGCATTTAAAAAAAATAAAACTATACCAAAATTTCTTTTAATTTTCGTCAAAAAATGAGACAAAATAGTATTGCGGACTGCTGTACACGCCTCTACTACACACGCTTTCAAGTGTGCGGTTGCCAGATATCAAGAGTTCAAATCTTTTGGATTTAACAGCGATGACGCCGCAGACGGCAGCCTCAGTGTTTGGCTCTCCAGTGTTTGTACTGTTTTTGTTAGTTTTTCCTGTTTTTTGTTTCTCAAACACGATCAGTTTTACCAGGGATGAGCTGCTGAACATTCGGCAGAACACACCACACAATCTTCTACCGGATTTCGTTTATTCGGACGTTTTGCTGAACGTTGTAGTCGGCGGAGCTGCTGCGCTGATCAAGCGCTTCAGGACGTGCAGACGAGGGAAGCGAGCCGGCGCGCTCGTGAAGCTCAGGAAGCGCGGATTCAGAACGACAACAAAACGGACAAACTTCTTCTGCTCTCCCGGACAAATAAGGATTTTTCACACTCTGCTGCTCTGTGTTTCACGGAAACCTGGCTGAATGACGCCATTCCGGACAGCGCTTGTAACACTATAACAAATTCCTTGTATGTGCAAACATACTTGGCAATAAAGCTCTTTCTGATTTTGATTCTGATCTGCAAATCAGAGCTTCTCTGTTAAAAGGATAAATTTTCTGCCCAGTGTTTTGCTTATTTTTTGCAATCTGGCAACCATGCGCACGCGCTCGTTCTTCATTGCAGAAGCACCGACGATGATCTGGAAACACCGACAGACAAGTAAACTG